TCGCACAGCTCACGCAGGACAAGAGATGTGCAATCTGCACTGTATGGGGGGACGGAGATTAACGTCAATCTCCGTCGTTTAGTAGCCGTCAATCTCCGTCGCACAGCTACGTCGCACAACGCTTGCGGCACCTTAGGTAGTCCATTAGGAGAACCTGCGGGTCAAAACGCACACCAGGTACCACGAGGAGGCGTTCTACGGAGAGTGACGAGGTACCCCAAGATCTGGCCTTGTGAGCTTGTGCCTCACATAAGTAGGCACAGTCCTCACCCAGGTGTCCAAGTCTTCCTCCTTCTTCTTGTCTCCAGAGAAAGGCTTGGGACTCATTAGAGGTATCTTGGGCATCCACTGCATCGGCTGCATGGGCCCAGGTGCTTGCTGCAGCGGCTGCATAGCCACTGAAACAGGTTGTTGCACACTAGCCTGGGCCTGGCTGGACAGTGGGACTGTAGTGACCACTGTTGTAGATGGTACGACTGAGACTGAATGAACCGGACCACTAGTTGCTACTAAACCACCCGGGGAGGGTATGCCAAACATGGGAGAGAAAGTTTGCCCTGTGCGTTGCGGCATCGATGATGGACCCGCACCTACAGGGGGAACTATAGCAAACGGCGGCTGCCTCACCATTGTGCGAGGGCCCCGAAGTTCAGCCAAAATTTGTTTCTGGCCTACTACCAAATCAGCCAACAATTCCTGTTGGACGCTTTGCGCTTCCGCTACTGAAAGTAAGGCTCCTCGCAACACACGAACAGCAGGATCCAATATTGACTCATCCAGTCTTTCCAGTCTGCCTAGCTCCTGAGCTCTACTCTTAGTCTAGCTTTTCTTTGCATAGCTTTCCTTCTCCTCTCTACTACTTCATCTGCCGCTGTAGCTCATCCTGAAGTTCTTCTGCTTGCCGGATTTCCAAGTCCTCCGGCGTGATAGGAGATTGGCTGACTCGCACATGACCAATCTGACTAGTGGCTGCCTGAGTACCACTCTGACTGACTCTTGACGAAGTGGGCTGTGTAGAGGATTGCGTCATAGATGAGGTAGCCATGGCTGTACTGATGCTAGCTGTAATTCTAGCTCTAGCACTATCCTCAGCTGCCCTCGCTCTCCTTGCCGCTGCCCTCTCTCTAGCCTCTCTCCTCAATCTTCTCTCGTCTCATGGACCTAACTCCAGGAATGTCAAGGGTCGATTGCGGGCAGTCCCGCGAGTAGTCCTACGGTCGTCCACTAGTAGCTCCTCCTCACTTGTGCTTGCATCACTCATGAGCTACAATGTGTGTGATCTAAACTAGAACCCACATTGAATCCTACCTTAGCTTGACACACAACCGATTATGAAACACAACTACTTTCGGTCGGATGGGACAAAACAGTTGGGTGATATAGTTACAACTAATGTCAGGTCCTACAAGATATATTACATCTATTTTTAGATTACCCTGGAACAGATTGCAATACAGCAAAGATCTAATCTATCTGTAGTTGTCTGTCAGTTGTCAGCAAGTCCGTAACAACTAGATAATCAAAACAAAGAATAACATCTCCTGTTGGAGATGTATGCTTGATGGCAGATTGTCTGTTCATTGCCACTGCGAACAGTTACCGGAATCCCCCCTCCCCCTGTATCCTTCTTGAGTAATCACTTTGTGTCAACGTCCCTGAGCATCTGGTTGAGCAGCGTGTCTAAAGGTGTGCAATCTGGTCCCACCCCTGTGCCTCAAGTCATCGTCGAGCAAGGCAGCCACAACACTTTTATTTACCCTCGTACGCCGACGAGCCTTACACCCGGTTGATCTGGCTGATTAGGAGGATTATTAAGAGCGCCCCCATCTCTTCAGGAATTATTTAACGTCGCAGTCAGGACGACGATCACAGCCAGATTCAATCCGAGTTCCCAACCAGAAATGTTTACAGACGGTCTGGTGAGCGTCTCATAGAGGCTGCCATGGCCGAGTTGACCCCAATTTGCGCAAGCAGCAGAACAAGGACTTGCGGCCCAAGCATGCGTGTACTAGTCCCAGCGGGTTGGCATGGTGACCCTGACCCGAGTGCTTCATCCAGGGCCCTTCAGAGGCTTCGCCCGTCTCTCACCAGCTTGCTGCCCAGGAAGAATGTCGACTCTCAAGGTTGAGCGCTCGCGACACCTCACATCGAGAGGACTCTCAAGACAGARCTCACTTCCTCAYGGTAAGAAGAGATRAAGAGGGTASATAAGGAAGAGAGCAACGTACCTCATAAATGCTGCCCCCAACCACAGATTTCTCACCGGTAACCTGATGTGCAATTATGATGACCGGTCTTTGCTTCGGCACAACCAACAGCAGAATGTGGTTCCACCTCAGCTTAATATGTCACATCAGCAAGTTCTCATCATCCAGCATACATCCCGTATGTCACCACATAGCTCCCTGGCGCGCCCACACAACCCTGGGCCGCCTACTGTTCAACGCCAATGCCGTATCACTGTCCCACACCTCATGCGAAGCACCAATAGCTATTGTGAAGAACCAATGAAGCGCAATATGAACCAGCTCCGATACCAAATTGCAAGGAAAATAAGCAACAGCGAGATGATAATCCCAGATCACACCATCACATTGCAAGTCAAAAAATCACACCGTGTCCAGATAGCAGCATTGCACCAATAATACACCAATGGAGTTTCGTAGCACTGAAAACCAATGTTTATGGAGAGAACACTCTCTCCTCTTCAACACAAGTATCCAGTTCTCTTATACACATCTAGATGTGTATAAGAGACAGAGCCAAGCCCGCTATGGAGGCTGGCTATGGCGCTGCCCTCAGCAGCGCCCTGTTCCCCTACACGACCGCACATGTGTTGCCCCTTGCTCCTCTGCCGGCAGTCAGCCTGCGAGCTTTTGCTCCAGCAGCGCTGCCGCCCAGCCAGCAAGTGCCCGAATGAGCTGCCTGGCCAGAGCTCTTTCCTTTATGGAAAAGAGCTGGCCAGCTCTCGCAGGCTGGCTGGGCTGGCCTGGGCCCAGCAGCTTCCGGAAGGCCCCAGGAGGCTGCCTGGATGCAGCAGCTACTGGGCTGCTGGGCCTCGTTCGGTTGGGCGCCCAACTGTCTCTGTATGAGGCTGCGAATCACGACCAGGGCCTGCATTCTTTGGAAAGGCCCGGTAGGCCGTGGAAATGTCTTCGGTACTCGGCCTGTGTTTCTTTCAACCAACTGGCGCGTCGCAACTGCCTGGACCCCAAATATGAAATTGACAGTCGAGGGCCTCTTGCAAAAAGCCAGGCCCGCCTTCACTTAGGGCGGGCACCTCCGCCTTCACTTAGGGCGGGCACCTCCGCCTTCACTTAGGGCGGGTAAGGCTGCAGACAGGGCCCCGTAGGCCTACCAAGGACACTGATCCTCGCACAATACTGTGTAGGCCACTTTGCTTCATTTTTTCCTCATCTCTTTATCCCTTTACTGTATGTATGTACACTATCAGGAAACACCTACGAACCCATACCTCTCCCTAACCCATGGGCAGGTTTGCACCATAGTGTTGGTGCGAGAGCGAAGCTGTGCCAGCCCCTCCTCAGGCGTTGCGAGCA